GAAGGCATGCAGGATTGCACAAAAGAACACTGGATATGAAGATTGTAGGTCAGAGCTAAGGTGAAAAAATACATTTTTTTAAAGGGAGGGGGAGAAAACCTAATTTGTATACTGAACTCTTCTCTCTCTCTCTCTCTCTCTCTCTCTCTCTCGTGGGCTTCATCCTTACCTGTCTAGATGGACTTGCTTTTTCTGCAGACTGGATGACTTTGTGATGAATCATCTGGTTAGATGCAGGACTTGTGTTCCTGAGCTACTCTATTGCTGTCGGAACTCTTTATCCTTGATAAGAATAACGCACTGATTATGCTGCCTGCTTGAGAGCAATGAAGTCCTTAAGTATTTGTTTTCCTGCTTTTAAGTAGCTGGGCTTTGTAAACTTTGTGTAAGACATATATCCTTGCCACTTAGAAACTTGAACCTGCTTTTTAACTAAAGGTTTTCTTTGGGGAATTTTATTTATAATATTGCATTCAGTAATGTTTGGTGTGATATTTATGTCACACACTTGACACCAATAGTTTTGGATTCAGCCTAAAGCAGTTGCTGACGTTTCTTGAAATGGCAGTCAAAACAAGTCAGAGTACTACTTTTTAAGATTTTTCTTTGCTTGGGATAATCTTAATCACACTTTTGTCAAAGTCTCTCCGAAAATGTTTGATTTGAATGAAACGGCAAAACTCAGCCAGCTGTTTTTAGATTTTTCGCACTGGCTCAGCAGACATGTGCTGACAGTAGTGTTCAGAAGCTTATAGTATCGAGTTGTTTCTGTTGTGTGGCTTGAGGATTTCATTCTCTAGCATTGTCAGCATAGTTTACGTTGGTACTAATGGCTCTGTTATTAGCTTCCCCACCTCTGAAAATGCGGATCTCTGTTTCCGTCTCTTCCTTTTCTTTCTCATTTATCATTTGTAGTAATAAATATACAATTAAAAATGTACATTGGATATTATTTGGAGCATCATTGCCGTTAAAATCATCTTTCAAAATTGTAATGAGATGTCATCTAGCTTTGCCATGTCAACTCTCATAATAGATTAAGAATTAAGGTTATCTTACTCCACCAAACAGCCCATGGTTCCCAAGTGTTTTGTGCATGAAAATAGTGGCAACTGAATTTGTATACAGCCCCAGTGGAAAATCAGTGTTGCAGAGATGCAACTTTGGGAATGTTTCTTCTATAGCTTATTTTACAAGCCACAGGAGAATGTATGTCCACATTTCAGTGAGTCCTCAGAATGGCTTAGTGAGTGTTTCTTCTGCCTGTTGTTGGACAGGAGGCCCTTGAACTTACAGGGTTGTTACTGCTTATGCATTAGATCTTCAAATCCTGCTGTGATAGGGGAAGTACAACATGGCAGTGTAAGGGTGTGGGCATGTAAATTGCTCAGAGGTAAACTGTAATAAAACTTGCAGTGTGTCATCTGCTTCCAGTCCCATTTGGCCACTCTTTATTTTTCTGTAAAAGTAAGGATACATATACCGCCACAAAAGAGAGGTAAGCTACGCTGTACTTGTCATATTTATTGTGTGGTAGGATGCACACTTATAATTGAGTGTACACCCCTGGGATGTTATTTGCTACCTGTTCTCCTATGTTTTATACTGTGTGATGGCCATTCTTAGTTATTAATTCAGCTAAATCAACATAAAAATATTTATCTTTGGCTCCACTATTGTATCTCCCACTCATACCTCTGCAAGCCTGACGGTAGTGGCTGAGTGCAGATTTATTTGGTAGTTTCCTCATTTGTGTTCTGTAGCACACCAAGACAGCGAGGGCCGGGTGCAGCAGTGTCTTGCTTTAGATGCCTCAGGTGCTCAGGCATCAGGTGAGATACATCTGGGTCTAATCAACTTTTATCATTCAGTCCAATTTACAAGGCGTGGTATTTTGTTCAAAGGTTACACACCTTTATATTGGGAAGTATATGTCTTTGTCTTGGTGCTACTCAAATAAGGTTAGTAGACGTGTGAAGAAGAATTTGGCCATTCCTCTGGGAGCAATCTCTGGACGGGCAGAAGCCCCAAGCAAAGGCCCTCCCTGCATGGGCAGGTCAACTCTGTTGCATTTGCAGTAATAAGTCAGGCGACACTCGGAAAATGCCAGCCTGCATTTCTGCCTGTGACCCCATGCTGTTCTGATGTGGGGTATAACAACAGAAGCTCCTGGAAAACAAAAAGTACATTATGGCAGAGTTTTTAATTGGGCAAGGGCAAAGAAACTGGAGCTACGGATTTCACAGAAACCTGTGGGATGTCATGAAGCCTGCTTTCTAATGAATTTGTATTTGTGGATGGGTTTTTTCCTAGCTTCTAATAAGATGTCAGCTCAATTGAAGCTTTTCCTGTCACTGGGGTGGCATTTAAAAGGCCAGAGAGCTGTGTGGGTTCCTCTTGTTAACGCAGGAGGTGTGCTGCCATGACCTTGTGCCAGCAGGGTGTATTGCCTCAAAGTTAGTTGAAAGTAGCCAAAGAATTAAAAAATTATTCAGCAGAGGGGATGGAGAGAGTTGATGAATACATAGACACATGATGTGATTATAAAACCTCATTTCCATAGGAAACCAGGCTAATTATAACTGTAGTACATCAAAAATGAATCTATCATATAATTCCTCAGTGGTCTATAACTTAATTCCTCCTTAGCTCAAGCAAGTTTGATAGCTTTCACCTCTCCGTGCCTTGGAACGCCAACAGCAGTTATATGACACTTGTCCCCTTATGCAAGAGGCCTGATTCAGAAAATTGAGGGCTTTCCGTTCTCAGCTTCACCTTTCTCCAGCACGAGATGCCTGCTTGTACTACTTAGCTTAGCCTAAGATTCAGAATATTACGGATGCACTGGCCTTATGTGTAGGCAGGCTGGGGACTGTGAGCGTGCATGGCACATGTCGGGGGGAAGCGCTGTGTATCTTGGGCAGGTGGGCAGGCAGCCCACAGGCAGGCTCAGGGCGCATCTCCTGTAGGTCTGGTCACAAGGCAGGGATGAGTACATGCAGCACTCAGTGTTTGCTAAAAATGTCCCTCTTTTCAACTTGGAAATCTAGGAGCTTCCTTTGATTCTCTCTTGTAGCATGCTCTATGCATGCATAGACTGGAGTACTGGCAGTCTTTTTTTGTTACGTCCTCTTGACATTATTCATATAATATTTAAGCTTTATGAATGTCACCTATAGAGCACTTCTCCTCTAGTGGCTCATTCTGAGCTGTTATTTACTAAGGAGTAGTTGGCCTGTGCTTTTTAGTGTATAGTTGAAGAGGTTCCTTGGAAAGTGAACAAACCTCCCTTTTAAACACATCATTACAGATAATTGGCTGTCGTTCTTTGTGAAACCAAGCAATTTTTAACTTGTGTTTTGGAAATACATTAGTCACAAAACACAAATTCTTCAACCTTATCCACCAAACCTTATACCCTAAGAGCATGGCCTTGCAAGCCGATCCTCTTTCTGGCTCAGATTTGCTAAATAACTGAAGGGTATGCTTAGTTTCGGTACGTACATAATGCCACAAAGTACTCTTAACAGACTAAGCCTCAACTTGTAGGAAGTAATAGCTTTCTTATGAGGGATCATTAGTAGTACCTACATGCTAAATAGCTTCTCCACTTTTGTGCAGTAGATTCTTTGTCTATGAATCAGAATAGTCACAAAAAAGGATTTGTCTGAAAATCTTGACATGTACATCTTGAAAGTATGAAGTCTCGCTAAGCCAAAAGCAGCAGCAGAATAGCAACCCTCTTGCTTGTAATAACACAGAAATGATTCAACATACTGATTTCAACATCGAGATAAACGTGATGACTTGTTTTAAAGATGAAGTGAGTGTGCCTTGTTCTCTTCCCTTCTTCACCTGTGTGGTCAGTGTGGTTTATTTATGAATTTGAATTATGATCTTCTACATCCAAATGCTCCTTGACCTGCAAAGCTGATACTAAAAGTGGTAGATTTAGGGCCCAAAGTAAAGACCATTCTTAAAAATTAACTTCAGTAGGCTTTTAGCAAGTCCTGAGCATTGGAAATATTCCTTCCCCCCCTACGAATTGTGCAGATACAGTAATGCTTTGTTTAGAAACACAAAAACTGAGAAAATATTAAACTCATTGTGACACTGCAGCTGCATAACAACAATACATAAGGGTGTTCTTTATGATGATAAAAGCTTTGGCCCTTCAATTATAACAGCAAGTGTCCGTGCTGGAATTTGTCCTTTACTGTAAGGAAGTATTTACACACAAAATCGTTGTTAATGTGTCGTGTCTGTGGAAGAACTTTACAGACTATAGCTGAGCTGTAGTTAATTTTAATGACTAAGAAATATGGTGCTTCTTGCAGATCAGCGAGTATAGATCACAGGCAGCTGCAAATTAACTATTATGAACTTTAGAAAAGAATTCAAAGAGGCTGCTTCTCCAAATGCGTTTTATTCGTTTGTTTTGACTAGTCCCAATTAATTATTTAAAGTTCTTCAGCAGTAAAGATACTTGGGAATGTGTTGTGCAGTGGTAGAAAAAGGAGATCAAACTATAGCATTTTACTGTTAAATGATAACTGAGAAGCAGGGTAAGATGACAGAATTTTTCAAAAGGGCTTTCCTGTTTGTGGATAACGTTTCATTTTGTGTCTATTTTTATAAGTTCATAGTTTAGGAAAGGCTGCAGCTGCATTATCTTGGGAATGTGGTATTTTAAGAGGTTTTACAATGTTTGATTGTGAAATTTGACTGATTTTGCTAAAAAATAAGTAGTATCCATAGCTAATCAAAAGAATAAATCTTGTAAAACAGTCTGGAATTTGAACAAATCCTTAGGCCTTCCTGGTGATGAGAACTCAGGTATACTGTATGAAGGTGCACTACTTCTTGTGGCTGCAAAACTCAGTAGAGGTACAAATAAGAGACAATAAGGAACAAAGAGTTTGAAAATTACTTCAAAAATTTTAGTAGCATCTTCTCAAAATAAACTGTTATGATTATTTCTTTATTATTTCTTTCTGTAGGCTCTTCCAGCAAATGCAGTTGCAGTTTTTGTGTACTGCAGCTCGGTGACAGTGTTCTTCACGGTGATAAAGGTGATCAGTTACCGTCTGCACCTTATGTTTGATAAAGGCGAAGTAATTCAACAAAAGATCTCAAGAAAAAATGGAAGGCAATGTAAAGATACAGAGCTCCCAAAAGGAAACACAGTTCAGCCCTCAAACTGTAGGTAAGGTTTCATTGCATGTTGCTGGTACCTTCTGTAAAACGGGTGAGTTTGCACTGTGGTCCTGCATAGCAGAAACACCTCTTGACTGTAAGAAAACTCCCTACTGTTGCATGAGGAATGGCACTTCTAAAAACCTGCTTAGTGCTTTTACTTTCAGTGGCTGCAGCATGCTTGTGGTGAAGCAGGCAGAGCTGCACCTGATTCAGAGGGTGGGGCAGCAGCTGGGCACCATGAAGGCAGAAGAAAGCAGTAGGAAGAGACCTTTCAGGAAGGTGCTAAAATATCTTGGAGAAGACCTGGGAGAAGTTTTCTGAGGAAGCCTTACATGCTTCGAGGAGCAGTAGAAAAGCTTTTTCTGTTGTTACCCCTAACTTAGAGAAGTTTGGGGATGAGGGAGAAGAGCTCTGTCTCCAGCAGAAAGAAGGCTGTGATCCTTAGGGGAAAGTGGTGAAAGTCCCAGCCATGCTTACTACCTGCTGGGAAGAGGAAAAGAAGTGGCACGCACCTCTTGGCAAAGAAAATGCTTTGATATCATGGCTTCAAAAGCCTGACCCTACATTGCCTTTGTGTGTTTACAGTGACTTCCTTCTTGGATCAAACCTAGGTGTGTACGTTGTAACTGCTGGTGATTTTCCTGTGGCCCTGTTCATGGGGAAAGCTAGAACTGCTTTTATTTCTGTAAGGCATTTGGTGGGTATTTGCAGCCTCTCTACTGAGGAACCAAGTACCATGTCTTTGCTGCAAATAAACAATCCAAGTCAATAAGGCTGCTTGCAGGTTGAGATGGCTTTAAAGGTAAAAAGTGTTGGACTGAAGACTGGTACTGACATTTTCCCAATCTGTGTATGTGTAGAATATTCTACTAGAAACTGTTTAGAATAAATGGAGACTTCTCTTGCTGGTTCTTCAAGCTTGAGTCATACGAGCAAATGAAGTTGGCAAGCAGCTTCCAGTGTTCCCAAGCATTATGACAGATGTGAAAAATGCTGAAACAAGGTACATCCAAGAGTGACGGCAGCATAGAAGTGTCCAAACAAAGCTTAAACCAAGTAGGTTCGTTAACAACTACCAGTCAAGCTTCAACAGAGAACTCTGTATAAAAGAATTTACCTTGGGTGTGTTTTGGCGCATTCATAGTTACAACTGCTACCTCTGTGCAAGCTCAGTAGTTTCAAGATTGATTGTGTACCTCCGTGCTGCTGCTCTTCTGTGTCTTTACAGATGCACATCTGTGCTACACTCCTGGTAGTGACATTGCTGGGAGTGTCAAAGTCTGCTTGCATCGAGACTCTTTTGAGAAAGCCTCTTAAGTGTGTCACTGACTGTACAAAGGTTTTTATTTTAGATTGGGTGATGCCTTTCAGGCTCTATTCTTCTTTAGTTCTCACCAGCTCATAAAGCTATTTCCTATTTGCAGATGTCTGACACAGTAATTTAAGAGGCTCATCAGTTGTTCTGTGCTGGCTCAAACTTAAACAGACCCTTGGTGTTTTACTGTTGACTGGTTAATGAAACAAATGCAAGCTTTCATTATCCTGCCTCTGGTTTGGCTAAGTAGAGGTAGAATAAATTAAAAATTGTATGTTAAATCACATAACCATTTCTCCTAGGAGGTCCTAGGCACAACAATCCATTATTTACTATTTGATTGTAAAATAGAGAACTTAGTATTTTGACTAGATGGATGACAGAAGTTTTTGAACAGGCCCTGTCAGTAGGCAAGTTGGTTGAACAACTTTTTGAAGCCAGCTAACTAGAGAAAAAAAAAATAAATTGTAGAAAGTTGACTGAGGCCCCCCAGTAAATAATTTTATAGCTTATGTACAGCTGTAGGGTTTTAAAAATAATTTTTTTGGGGAAAAAAACCAGCCTCACAAACAAACAACAAAGCCCAAACCCACACTTTTTGACATTTCACTATAATTCCATTTTTTTAACTTAATATTTGTTGTATTATACTTGAGAAAGAGAACATGTTGGTTCTCATTAGTAAACCTTGTCCAAAAATACTTATATCCATGAAAAAGCTAATAGGAAAAATGTGTAAAAAGAGTTAGAGGGTAGCTGAATACATCCACAAAGGAAGTGATCAACAAGTTGCCTGTAACATGAAATTTAGTAGTGGGTATATGTTTGCCCAAGTTAAAACCAGAGGAATAACTTTATTTTTTGGTCTAATGATTATATTACTGCACATGATGTGTAGAGCTTCAAATAGGTGTTTGATAGGAGGTTTGTAAAGAAACAGGCAGTAAGATAAACAATATGTATGCAAAGGTGTAGTCAAAGGATGTAAAATGCAAAAACTGTGGAAGTTGTAGTGTTTGATTGTTATACATCTAGTGCGAAGCCCCAAACGGCATTTTGTCCCAGTAATTCCATGCACATGTCAAACAGGGTAAATGACATTGTATACACATAGGGAGTTTGAAAGCATGTCATTGTATTTCTCATAGCAATGTGCTACTAACTAAGAAGCCAGAACAATTTTATATTGAGGTATTCCTATTTATTTATGTTTAGCAAGTTGTTTTGGAGAGGGAGGAGGGGCAAATAAGAGTTACAGTATTTTTCAGCCTTGTGCTTTTAGAATTGGAGGGGGAATATGTGCTGTCACTTCATTGTGCTGTGCTACTCCTTCCTTACTATTCCTCAGTTTCTTCCCAAAACTCACTGTGATCCTCTGTGGTAAGAAGCATTGCTTTATCTTTTATTTCCTTCCTTTTCAGCAATAACACCAGGGATAATGGTGTCATCAGTGAAACCAACCAAAATGACTCTACCCAAACAATTCACGACAGTTCAAGGGTACAGGCTGTGCACTCGCAGAACTCGCCTGGAGCAATGGTTAGTATGTGGTTTTCTGTAATAGTGTCTTCATGATGTGCAGTCCACAGCTTACCACATGGAGTTTTGTATTGCCAGGTACTGATCACCTGAAGTGTAGGTCCGCCCTGAGGAGGAAGGGTAGTTCTGTGGATCTACCTGGTATACCACTGCTGTCAGTTAGACCTCGCCTTGTCCCAAAGGTTTGGGTTTTCAGTCCCAAAGGTTTGGGTTTGCGAAGCTGAAACTGGTATATGTAATTCTGCTCTTCTTAGAAGGGGTCTGTTGGCTCTGTAGATACAAAATGTCCTTTGCAAATCTTGCCAAGAGCAACTAGTTTTCATGGCTGCTTTGGGAGAAGCAGGACGCTAATGCAATCAGAGCAGCTTTTCATTGTCTCAGAAGGGATCTGCTCCTGAAGCATTAGTAATTTGTTTTTGCGTAACTAGACTTATGCTTATAAAATGAACCCAACACCTCTAAAGTATTTAAACAACACATAAAAACCATTATTTAAATCTAGGAGATGTCTACATGAGGTTAAAAATACATATATTTACATTCCATGCCATTGGCCATGCTTTCTAAATCAATAGTGTATGAAGTGATGGAGGTGATTTATGTAGATGATAATAGTAAAGAAAAAGTAGGAAACATCGATGAGAAGGTTGAAGAGTTAATTATTCAAAAATTAAGAAAAGGAAGGAACGCTGTCTGTATAATCTTAAGCTACTCCCCATATATACTGTGATAAAATCTTTAATTATGTGATCCCATGCTATTTTTTCTACAGGACTCCTGCCTCATTCAGTGCAGAGGATGGTTAGTGATCTCTGAATAAGTAGCTATTTGATACTTCATTCTGTCTTCATATCCCCTCCCACCCCATTCCCTAGTTACTGCAAACTCTTCAAATCCTGGTCTGAATTGAAACTATTTCGTCATTTCCTGGAGTGTTTTTACCTTTTTGTAGCATCTGTATGATTCACAGACATTAATAGTTTTATTTTATGAGGTAAAATATTTTTCACCTTGTTTCTGTCCTATTCCCCAGTATTCTGGTATTTGTCCAATCCGCGACCACGTTTCTTCTTGGGATCTTGTCCAAGTCTCCCATTTCTAAATATGTAGGTTGGGTCAGGTCAGACCTAATCTCCTGTTCTTGCTGCCAGGAAAACACCATGAAAGTTTAGGAGATAATGGTTTGGGGGCCAGTCAGACAGAAGAGAGCCACATTAATTTTTTCCCAATAGCTCTTTTTCTAGTTAGGCACTTAGACAGTAGAATTTAGACTCCCAAAGTATTCCTCTGGAGTATTGTGTTTAGTTTTGAGCTCCCCAGTGAGTTCCCAGAGACATTGACCTGTTGATGAGAATCCAGCGGAGGCCACCAAGGTGACTGAGGAATGAGGTACATGATGTGTGAGTACAGGCAGATGGGACGTTTTTGCCTTTGTAAGGCTAAAACCCTTTGCAAGACTAGAAGAAGAGCTTACTGCTGTCTTCAGTTCTCTAATGGAAAGATAGAGAAGATTGTGCACACTTCTCAGAGGCCCAGTGACAGGATAAGAGACAGTGGCTGCAACTTGCAGCCAGGGAAAAACTACAGTTACATCAGTCAGGTTTAAAGTTTTTGTTTGGTGGGTTTGGGGTTTTTTTTGATTGTTTGTTTGTGCCCCGCCCTTCCCCCAGGGTGGTCAAATACTGGAAAAGGTTGTCCAGAGAGGTGAAATCTCCGTCTTTGGAGATATTCAAAGCTCTGCTGGAGATGGCCCTGAGCAACCTGCTCTAATTGTACCTACTTTGAGTGTGTATGGTGGAGGGGATTTGGGCTAAATGACCTCGAAAGCTTCCTTGCTATCTAAACAATTCTGTGATAATTTAATGGCTCTGTCCTCTAGTTTCCCACTGAGAAATTGTTACCAAGTTCTGGAGACCAAACTTAATTTTAGTGCTTTGGCAACAGGTAGCTGGAAAAGTGGAATACATGAATGCATTCTATTCCTTAATGATTAAAAAAACCCAAACCAAACTAATCTGGATTAGACACTGCAAAATATTTTTTTAAAAATCTTAGATTTTTTTTTCCCCAAACATCACACACAATTGCAATGATGCAATTTGGAATTTGGAGCATGACTGTTCTATAACCATCTCCCTCACCCACCCCTTGCATTTTGTGTAAGGTACATGTCCAAATTTCAGTGATGTTAAGCAATTTACCAGTGCTGTAATTAACCTTTGATGAGATAGCTATTGCACTGATAGATGTTTTTTCCAACAGAATTTAACATGTGCTCATGCTAATTTTGTGTGTTTCTTTTTATTTTTAGGAGCTGTCAACACGGGAAACTATTGAAGATCTCAGAGGTATCTTAAAGGCTTTTAAAATCCTTTTAAATCTTGGTTTAATCATTGCTTGCCACAAAAAAAAAAAAGTCACAGAGGACCCCTTGACCCCATGGCAAGTTCTGTTGTACCTCATGTTAGGAGCTCAATGGAAAGCTCGAGAGAACAAATTCTCAAGGGAGTTCTAACAGACTAAGCCTTCTCAGCTGTCAGCCAAGCTCCAAGCTCTTCAGGATGCAGTCTTTTGGTGAACATGCAAGCAGCCCTTCCCATTTTGACATGCGGCAATGAAAGAGCCTTCCCCCCACATTCTTGGGAATTTCTGTGCACACCTTGCTTTGCCTACAGTTCCAGTGCTTGAAACGTTTCAATACATTTTAGTTTATCTCCTTTTTGTTAAGGTTGATCACCATATCGTATGGGACCATTTAAGAATTACACAAAGTGATGCAACAAACTTGTGCCACACTGGCTTATTCTTTCTTACATCTCTCCCTAAGTGGGGATAATTCTGTAAAACAGTTTTTATATTAGCTGTTTCTTGAGCTATTTTGATTATTTAAATTAAATAGACATGCTGCTACTACTGTCCTGACCTGGAAGGATTCCAACTTGCTTTCATAGTATTTCACACTTAGCTAACAAAAAAGATTCTTGCTTAGGAACTGTTTTAATCTGCTACATCATCTGTGCTTCTTTTGCTTTGCTCTGGATCAGATTTTACTAGCTAAAGGTGATACTTCAATAATGCACAGTGTTCGTGTTTGTGAGACCTAACTCCCATGTGTTTTTTATTAGGTGTTATGGTATTAGAAGACCAGGCTGCACCGCCAGTTTCATCTACCTCACCCTGTATCAAAACAGATACATTACCTGTTTCTACAGCCTCTGCTTCAGGTGCCACCACATCAGCAATAGTGACAAAACCAGCTGCTATGGAAACACTTTCTGGTAATGGAATCAATGAGGAAGGAGGGAACGGACAGCCATATGGACAGCATGGACCCCAAGATATTCTTGTGGGCAGAGATGTAGCTAAAAACTTCTCCAATATGTCTTCATCACAAGGTGATATTTTAAGGACTGGAGTCTCTTCAGAGCCATGGGACAGCGAAAATTCAGTTATTTCAGACCATTTGAGTAATTCTAAAAGTTACAAAAGAGGGAAATCACCAGATAGATCACCACAGGCAGGTTTTACCAGTAACTGCCCACAGTGCAATGCCATTGCAACCAAAGATCCGGAGCATCTGGAAAGTTCTTGCAGTGCTGGTAGTACCCATGAGGACATTGATTACTCAGACAGTGAGACTGCTGTTGAAGTTGTGGACAACTCTCTTCCTGGAGATCAGCTGTGTGAGCCCATTAAAATTGTCATCACAATGAGTACTACACCAACCACCACCCTCAGTGACCTAGCAGGCTCTGTCCACCTAAAGGCTCTGGGAACTGAGAGAACAAGCTCAGGCCTCGAGTCTGGTATAGTTACAGCAGGTTGGCCAAGTCAGCAAACTAATGAACAGCTCAGAATCCCCGTTATCACTTTTGACCTGTCTGATGACAGTAAAGGTAAGGCTTGCCCAGAAGTTAGTGAAAGTGAAAGAACTCCAGAAATGTTAAAGGCAGAGCTGTCATCCAACCAGTGCTCTGGCTATGAATCGGGTGATGCAATAAAGGAACACAGCAAACCAGGAAATACTCCTTTAGAAACTAACACTTGTTCAGATCCAAATCGGGAGAATGCTTCTGAAAATATCCAGACTGTAGATTTAACTTCTAAGGAAGACCTGCACAACCTAGACCCACAGTCCTGTAGAACTGCTTATGAAAAGAGGCACATGCGGGTGTTGAGCGTAGACAGCGGGACCGATGTGCTTTTAAGTAAGAATTTCATGGAGGTATCTGACAAAGAAAAGACCTTACCAACTTCTAAATCAGATCTAGAAGCTAAAGAGGGACAGGTGCCCAATGAATCCAACTTCCTAGAGTTTGTCTCCCTCCTGGAATCCATTAATACCTCAAAGATGAAGGCATCTAATCAATCCACTGTCAAAATGGAGACAACAAAGGAAAATGGGCTTGTTGGAGGTATGATGCATGGTTTACAACTCTTTTGGAATAAAAAAGTTGTGACGAGTTACATTATATATAGCAGCTTAATCTGAGATCTGCAGAAGGGCAAATTCCCAGAGGAGAACTGGTTTTGCTAATAGCGCCGGGGAAGGGCTGGACTTAGTGGGACAAAGTGATTTAGTAAAAGTGTGATTGTGTCAGCTGCTGTTCTTTGAGTATTTTTATATAAACTCTTAAAGATTGTATATAAATTATTAAAAGATCTTCCTTTGGAAAACCTAATGCTAACTTCAGTACGTGTTCTATCTAGAACCAGAATAGCATGCATGTGGCAGGTCTGGATTGTTGGAGTACCAAAAGCATCTTGTAATGTGTATAGCTGTAGCATTACACCTGCCCTTGCCCATCTTAACCAGGTGCCTGTTGAAGAGTTGTCCATGTGTGCCTGTAAGTGTGTAGAAAGCTGGAATTGTCACTGGTGATGGGTCAACTTCTAGCTAACCTGTGTGTGTGCACATGTTCCCGCAAGAACCTTCTATTACATGAAAAACACACAGCTGATTTCAAAGTTTGTCACCTTTTTTTAAAAAACAAATGTGGAATTAATACTTTTATCTTGTTTAAAAAAAAATTAAGGATCACTTTATTTTCTTGATGTGTCATCTACCTGTAGATTCTATTTCCCTTTCGGTTTGCCTTTTTTCTTTCCTCTTATCTGACCTATCAACTTAATTAGACCCATATCTCATTCTGGTTTGCCTTTTTTCTTTCCTCTTATCAACTTAATTAGACCCATATCTCATTCCATCTTTCACTTGTGTCCTTTTTTCCCTTCCACTTTATATTTCTAATTCTGTGCCTTCTCTTCCCCTGTTCATCCCTTCTCAGTTTAGCCACTCTCTGGCCCTCCTGTGTGACCTTATTTACCCTCCTCTTCATACTGCTTCTCCCTCGTCTTTCCCTCTGTTCTTCCTAGCAATCCACACTGTTGCTTTTCTAGCCTTTTTCCACTCTCTTGAGCTTGCCTAAAGAATCAGAATCACAGAATGGTTCGGGTTGGCAGGGACCTTAAAGATCATCTAGTTCCAACCCCCCTGCCACGGGCAGAGACACCCTCCACTAGACCAGGAAGCCATTGCCTCCCCACAGCTTGCGCTCACTTCTCCTCTACTTACCCTCCTCTCCATTCCCTAGTCAAATTTTGCTCCTCCTATGTCTAGTGCCTCTCCTCTGCTCTGTCTCGCCCATCTCTCCTGCCTTCTCGGAGTGTTCTGCAGAGGAGTTTCTGTCCTGCTCTATCGAGTTCATCAGCCTGCCCAGCTGGCTCTGTGCTGTGTGGTTTCCTAAGACATGTGCTGAGCAAGCCCTGCTTTTCTCCAAGCCCTGCTTTTCACCAGACCCTACTCAGCTGATCCCCTTCTGAGCCTGGAGAGCCCCCCAGGTCCCCGGGGTCTGGGGGTTTGGGCACAGGGTCACCTCTCTGTGCAGCAGTACACAACAAACTGAGGGTCGTGGGAAGCGGGTTGCGATCTTTCCTACTCCTCAACAATAAAAGGAGTATTTACACAATAATTTGAGTTCTGTGTGATGTGACCTATCTGGAAAAGAGAAATTATAAAAATTTCAGAGGTAAGTTTAAACAAAAAAAAAAAAAAAAGAGTGCAGCTAATCTAGAAAGGGCTTTCAGACAAGTCCCCTCAGATAATATGGATGGGGAAGATTGCTTGTATAAAGGAAAGCAACGAGTGATCAGAATAAATCAGACTTGTAGAGTCCACAGTGACAAAAAAAACCCAAACAAACCCCAAACTATTAATCTGTGTGTAGCTATTAGGCTTTAGATCTGGAAAATTAGATTCTTCTGATTGGACTCCAAGGAGGAAACCAAGAGGATTCTGCTCTTCCCTTAAACCAAGCTGTTACTTAAGGTGACCTGAACTGAATTTCCTACTTTCCTATTTTCTTAAGTCGATATGTTTGTGAGATGGTGAAGCTGAGCTGCATACATGTATAATTAAGTGGCCCTGCTCGTTTCCAGTGTGGGCCCAGCAAGTGTCACCCTGGGAAAGGAGCGGGGCCGGGAAGAGGGGTGTGCTGCTGGAGCAGGGATGGTGGCTGTGGCTCCTGTCCCTGCCAGGTGGCTCCTGCACTTCACACCGGTGTTTGGGAAAAAGGAGATTCGATCTGCACTCTTTAAGCTAGGGAGAGGTAGTTCAAAGGCAGTTATTTTTAAGAGCAAGGAGGCTTTGTTTTCTAGCCTAGTTGAAGCGTGCTCTTTGCTAAAATAAATTACTGTCATTACTGGCAGCTTCCCCACAGTAAGGTTGGATTTTAGGAATCAGAGGGCCTCTAATTTGTTTACAGCCTTGCAATTACAAATATGCTTTAATAAAATAGCATCTTAGATCAGATCTGAATAAACATTATTCCCACATTAAAGTGGTTGTTTACAAAAAAAAAAAAAAAGTGTTTGTGTGGAATACAGAGCAAGTCAAGCTTTGCACCAGTTGTTTTGAGGGAGGAGGTTGGTTGTGTTTGTTTTTTGTTCTTTTAACCTTGCAAACCACTAAATTGGCTAAAAGGTAATAATAGATGCCTGGTCCAAATGAGCATGAAATGCACTTCAAGTTTATTAGGCAATATGAGAAACTTGGCAAATTCCTGGAAAGCTAGATATTCAGAGCTGTGTGTAAGAAAGCTGATGTTTTGCATAACTTGGAGAAGGCGGGGAAAATGTGCTTATCAGAAGATAAATTGGCAAAAGGTAATAATAGATGCCTAGTCCAAATGAGCATGAAATGCACTTCAAAAAGGTATTTATTAGGCAATATGAGAAACTTGGCAAATTCCTGGAAAGCTAGATATTCAGAGCTGTGTGTAAGAAAGCTGATGTTTTGCATAACTTGGAGAAGGCGGGGAAAATGTGCTTATCAGAAGAGTCTTGCAAGTGAGCAAATGTTATCTATAGGTGTTAGTTATGGGTGCTCCCTCACAGAACTTGTGAGTTCTGTGGAAACAGAAGAGATACTGCCCTGACCACGTAAGCCTTTGCCAGTAGAGAGCTCAGTAAAATGCAGTACAAGAAAATTAAAGCCTTGCTTTGTGCTACCAAGGATGCCAGATTTAATGTGTCAAAATACAGGACAGGAAAAAAAAAAAAAAAAAGAAAAGAAAAAAAAACCAAACAAACATCTAAGAGCTGTTCTGTTGCCACTCCACCTCTTCTAGATTGTGAGAAAGTATCACCGACACTGTTGCTAAAAATGACTTTCAGGTCTGTGTCCTGTCCAGTTTGGAATCAAACTTGCACCACCCACGTAATGAAAGCCTGTCAAAAGACAACTGCAGATTTTCTTCAGTCTTTGAGAAGCATAAGGAAAGCCAGGTTTATTGGCTGCTTTGGGTCCCTCTGACATGTCTGGAGCTGAGTTAAGAGCAGCTGTGCATCAGACTTATGCAGGGCAAACGCTCATGTATGTCCCCTCTGGCACAGCTGGCTTATGATCTAGGCCAGACAATGTTGTCACCCAGGGAGCAAAGCCTGCCATGGGAGTGGTGGGGACCGGTGCAGGAGAACCTAAATCAGGACTGGGTGGCCTGAATTTAGGTGTTTTGCTGGCTCTTTTTAGAAAAAGTACTCATCATTCTGGGCAGTGCACAAACCACAACCTTGAGTGAGTTCTTCTGGATCCCAAGCAATTACCCTTCTCCTATAAAAAGCTAAAACGTACTCCTGTGGATATTTTTAGTCTCCTCAGTTTTTTTTCCTTTGCATGTGAGAAAGAGGACTATCACCTGCCATATAATCCCAATGGAGAAGGATCTTGTGCATTGGATCACCAGCCCAGATGACAGCTGTAGTGGGAGGTGATGGCAGGGGAGTTTGCTGGCAGGCGGGTAGCACCCGGAGCACGGAGCCCTGCAAGGAGCCAGGTTTTCTTTCGGAGCAGCAGTGTGCCAATCCTGACTCTTGTGCCAAGTGCCAGAGAGGGACTGTGTCGTATTTGATGCCCCTTTTTGGGTGGGGAAGAAACGGGGTGCAGAACTGAAGTCTCTAAATCTCAGTCTCACACTGAGTCTCACACTCATTGTGTAAGGCTTGATTGAGATTTTATAATTTCAGTCTTTAAATCAAAGAGGTAATAGTATGTTTGATGACAGGGCTGATGCCTGTAAAGAACTTATGAGGTTATTTCAGAGGTTTGTATTCTGAGATAATTAGGTATAATGATTAGACTACTTGCCTGAGACCTCAAGAGCCTTGATTTTATTCCCTGGCCAGTATTCCTTGATATTATTTGCTGCTGGCATAGGAGATTGTTTTGAGCAAGTCACTTCTGTGCTTAGGTTTCCCTGTCCTATAAGAGGTACCGTGAGCTTCACTAGCTTTTCCTATTACTTCAGGACTAATGTGGTAATTCTGATTAATGGATTACTCCACGTGCTTCTTCAGTGCCTGTGATGAACTTCTATAGATATTCTTGGACTGTGTCAGGTTCCCTGGGCGCTCCTGTTGTTTGGCATGTGACCAAATTTAGTGTCAGATTTTTCTTTTAATGTGTTTGTGGTATAATAGGCAAATTTGCGTTGAGAATAACATACATAAGCTAGATGTTTCTGCTAAAGCAGTTGGTGAAGAAAGGGTTTGGAATGTCCTTAGAATATATTCTCCAGAGATATGAATGGGACAGTTCACAACTCACAGAGCTTTTGTTTCATGAAGAGGGTTTTTTTCTGGTAACTTGAGCTTTGCCAGCACAGTTTCCATGTGAGGAGTGTTTGGTGACGTAGAGCCAATTACATATCCTGACAGAACACACCTAGTCTAGACACCTCTATCTCCATTTAAATACTCAAGGTGTAAGTCAGTTGGAAGAATGTGAGTAATAATCATTAAAACCAGTCACAAACCCATCATGGGCCACCTTTCCAGTGCTGGAAGTACTCATCACCATGGTGTTGTCTGATTGGCATATAAAGCCTATAAGAAGCAGTATGTTTATGTTTTTATTATTATGACTCTTTACCACTGTAGGGAA